TGCTGCGTACCCCTTCGGCTTCAGCGGAGTGCCCCTCGTCGTTTCCCCTCGCCAGCCGGTCTCCTTGCAGCACGTGGCCTTTCCTGTGCGGAAGCTGCCCAGCAGCAGCAGCAGCAGCAGCAGCAGCAGCAGCAATCAGCAGCAGCAGTCGCCTGCTGCTATCCAGGAGGCCGTGCTGCTCTGCCAGGCAGCGCTGCTGCTTTGCCTCATATTTGGCCTCGACGTCTTCAGCGAATTCCCCAACCTGAAAGTGCCAACTTCCTGCAATGCAGCGGCAGCAGCAGCAACAGCAGCAACAAGGACTGCTGCGTCTGCTGCTGCCAGCGCAGCAGCAGCAGCGGCGAGTGCATCTGCTGCTGCAGCGGATTCTGCAGCAGCAGCTGCTGCTGCGAAGCGAGCTGCAGGGCAAGCCACCGACAAGCAGAGTGCAGCAATCGCTGCTGCTACTGCTGCTGCTGCTGCTACTGCTGCTGCTGCTGTTGAAAGGCTTCTTTGTGACTCCCCTCTTTTCCTTGAAGCTGGACAGATGGAGCCAAGTGTCTACATCAAGGCCTCTGCACCAAGCAGAAGCAGCACCAACCGAAATAGCACCAGCAGCAGCAGCAGCAGCAGCAGAACGCAGTCTGTGAGCGGACAAAGAAGCTCCTGCAAGCGCCTGCAGCAGCAGCAGCAGCAAAACGGCACTTCAAAGCCAGATCCTCTCCACGGAGTTTCCATCCGAAGGGCCAAGGTTCCCAGCTGGCATTTAGCTCAAGTAAGCTGCAGCACTGTGCAGCAGCAGCAGCAGCAGCAGCAGCAGCAGCAGCTCACGACAGCTGCTGCAACTCATAGCAGCAGCAGCAAATGCATCTGAGTTCGCTAGCGACCTCTGGGGCCCCCAATGTGTTGTAGAGCCCCTCAGGGGCCCCAGCGCTCCCCACTAAACCCCCTAGGGGGCCCCCCGGGGCCCCCTAGGGAGCCCCTGTGGCTCGCCTCAGGGCGTAGGGTCTAGGGTTTAGGGTTTAGGGTTTAGGGTTTAGAATGGCGGTTTGTGCCTCGTTTGCTGCGCAGGACTTTCTGCTGAGCCGGCTGGTGTCAGTGGAAGAGCTGCAGGCTGCGCTGCCGTGTCTGCTGCCAGTGGACTGGGTTGCTGCTGCTGTGTCTCTGCTGGTGGGAGCCGCAACAGCAGCACTTTCGCCAGTGGAGTGGCTGGGGCTGCTGCGGGCCTCTTTGGAGGGGCCCCCAGCAGCAGATTTGAAAGTTGTGGGGCAGCGCTATGCTGCAGTGCATCCCCGTCCGACTCCGTTGAAAGCCTCGCCTGCTGTGATTCGAACGATGCGTCTGCTGCAGCAGCAGCAGCAGCAGCGCCAGCAGCAGCAGCAGCAGCTGCAGCAGCAGCAGCAGCAGCAGCACGAGCTCGAGGAGTCCTGGAGGGCCACTTGCGCCCCCAGCCGCATGGGGCTGCGCTGGAGCTCCTTCACGACGGTCCAGAAGCAGACGAAGAAGCAGCAGCAGCAGCAGCAGCAGCAGCGCGCAGCAGCAGCAGCAGCAGCCACAGGAGCGGAA